AACTGTATTTTATACTGTATTATTTATGTTTTTATTGGTTTTAAACTGCTTGGTTGTGAACTGCCCAGAGTCCCTCCTTGTGGGGGAGTTGGGCGGTGATATAAATTTGATTTATAAATAAATAAAATATAACTTGTACTTAAAATTCAAAGTAAATTGCATCCAATTTACTGTATTTTTTTGTCCTGATGCTACCTGCGTTTTATTTAATCCCTGCTCACTTTTCTTTGGGAAGACTACTTCCCATCACTCACTGACATGGATAGACCTCAGCCCGCCAAAGTTGTGGGCCCTGTCTAAAAGAGCAAGGAGTTGCTTTCCAAAAGCCCAGTTACTCAGTGCAATACTGAGTATTTATTCCTTGCACCCACATCCAGAAGGCTTGGGGCATATCAGAAAAGCAGTACTTCCTCCGAGAACAAAGCCTAAATCTCCTCCTCCACTTGGTCACACAGGACAACATCTTTCTCCTCCACCAACACAAATCCCAGCTTCAAAATGGAGATCTCACAATGCCACAAGAAAGTCCCCAGGGAGTGGCATTTGACAAACCTGAAATGAAGGGTTCTACAAATCGAGGGGGGGGGAACACACTCTGAAGTGCAGACCCACCTCTTATGGCTTTCTATAATGTGTGCACAAGGCCACTTTGACCCACTTAATCCACCTTTTAAAAATCCTGGCTTAACCCTATGTGCAAGCCCACCAATTGTCTTCGCTCTTCATCGAGGTCTGAGACCTAATAGCCCTGGAAATGTAAGGAAGCCATAAACAGGCCACGAGCAAACCCAAACCCCCAAAAGATATTTCAGCAGCAACACGAAACTGACGGAATGAAATACATACCTCTGCTTTGGCCCAAAAGTTATCTTTGCTGACCCTTTTAATCTCAGACATAGCATTTGTTTTCTGATAGACGGAGCCCTATTGCAAAAGAGAATTGCACCGCTTAAGGAATTCCTTGGCTTAACTGCGCTTAATTATTAATAATTTATTGGTTAAAACCTTTAAGGTAATAAAATAAATAGCTCCACAAAAGAACACAAAAAAGATAGAAAGAGACATAGCGTATAAAGAATAACATAGCAGTAAATAGGTTTTTCAGTTATCATAAAATTTAAAATTCACTACGTCATTACTTAACTTAAATGTACAGAAACTAAATTCACGATGTCATAACGGTGCTTAATTATTAATCAAGGTGCTAGCAAGCTGCTAATAGACCTCACTTTTTGGAACTCTCAGACAATGAATTAAGTAAACGTTAACAAAATACTTCTTCTCCTCAACCCATTAAGGCTAGTGAAGCAGAGACCAGCCCCTGGCATGGAGGGCATTAAGCCATTTTGAAACTCTCATACACAACCCTCCTTCCCTTTGTGGATTAAGGACCTGAACTGCAATTTCATCAGAAGTCTGGCAAGCCTGTTTGTTCACCACCTATGATACAGTGGCGGGAAACCTTTGGGGTTGATAAGCTCAGCCTGAGTGTGTGCTGTCAGAAAATGACTGCCACGGGGGCTAGGTTGGTGCCTATTCACAAAATGTCTAATGTCAGGCATGGCCATTTTTAAAGTACCTTTTTACCAGAAAACAATGCAATAAAGTATATAATCTTCCTCTTTTTTCCCTAATCAGGCTGCAGTGCTCACCTCCATTTTCCATTTTCCCAGAATGCCGTTGAGGACTTTGTGGAACTCAGGGGCATTCTTGGAAACAAAGATAATGTTAGAGGCTGGTGCACTTCAGCATATCAGTATCCCATTTATTTATTTGTTAAAATAATCTAAAACAACAGTTCTAACCTGTGGTCTGGGACCACTAGCATCCACAAAATTACTATGGGTGGTCCCTGGTGCAGGCATCGAAAGAAAAAAAGACCTATTTTTTGAATGATCAAAATCCTGAAACTGCCAAATCCTGCAAGATGGGCATTCTAGTTTAAAACCCCATAAGATTTGGTGTCATTTCCCCAAATCTCCTAAGGTTTCAGATTTGGTAATCTCTTAAGAGCTCCACCAAGTTATAACGTTAAAGTTGTTATTTAATTTGACTGCCCACTGATCTGTTCTGGAGTCACAGGTGCCATGGAGTCTAGAGACTCTGCAGTGCTGTCCCTTTATCTCCATGGTGGCCCACAAAAACTTTTGATGACCTTATCAAGGACAAGGCTATAAAATGCTAATCTACAAAAGCAGAAGTCAGGTGGGGCAGAAGTCTAATGAATTCCAAGGAAGGTACCAAGTGGCATCATCTTGCCTACCCAAGCTTAGAAGAACTCACCACAGGAGCTTGTGGTCCTGCATCCTGGAACTTGCTCCCTTCTTTATGGAAGTTATAGTTTGCCCCTGAAGCCTTGGCCACTTTCTCTGTAATGGTCTCTGGTTCCACATCCTCATCAGCCCGAGCATTTATTGTCACATGAGCACCCTGTAAGAAAAGAAGTGCATAATTTCCTGCTTGTGATGGCTGACAATCATCTGGCACACTATGCTAAGCCAGATTGTGTGTGTTTTTTTTCATTAAGCAATAGGCAAACAAACCAAGTCTTGATGCAATGTGTCAACCCATCAGCAGGTATAACCTCACGGATAGCTAACCAATGCTACTGGGGTGTTGCATCCCTCCATCTGCCTGATGGAAACAGATTTGCCACCTGGAATCTGTCCTGAGACAGAAGTCTTATTTTGCAGCAACATTGGAGAGCTGCTGAGAAATACAGGGGAAGACATGCCGTACAGGTAAAGTTTCAAGAATAGTAATGTTTGGTGGGTGAATTTTTTCTTCCAAGTATTCTATTCTAAACAAAGGGATAGCATACAACTAGGAGCCTCCAATTACAGTACCCTTCCATCCCCCATCCCAGGGAATCCAAGAAGCAAACTTTTAACCAGCTGCCTTAAAACTTCCGGTCCCTCAGGGTAATATCATCAAAGGGTGTGAGTGTGTACTTTCAGTGGGATTTTACTCACAAAAAGCCTGCAGAACTGTGCATGTGGGAGGGCACTCAACTGAAAAAGGATTAGAGAGGATAAAATTCAGATTATACCTTCAAAAAGTTTGCCACTGAGCTGACATGGTTGGCGCAGGCTCCTTTTCTCACGTCATTAACACCTTCACCAAACTGCCGAAAAGAAAAACAGAGAATTTAAAAGAGGGGACTCATATCATTCTTCATACAAGTGGTGACAGGGAAGGAAATGCCATACTGGAATGACATTCCTGAAGGTATACTACTTACTCATAGTAAGAGTTTATTCATTTAAGTACTTGTAAGACAAAGCCAAGATCTAGTTTCCAAATTTAGGTTAGGAAAAATGGAAAGAAAAGAGCATACTGTACAGCATTCCAGATTCTATAAAAAGGCCACCATTTTTAAAAATGGAACATGAAAGTTCATCTCAAAAATATGACACTCCCATAAATAAAATACTCCTTTTTTCCTCCCAGAGCACACCATTTCTGACGTGTACCCTGTGTACGTGTGTGTGCATTTCCGAAACGTACTGTTTTAAGCAGATGGTGCATGGTATTCCAAATATGTCCTGGCCCTGAAAGAAACTACTCCTTGTTCCATATTGCATGCATTGTGAAATGCACAAATCTGGCCCTGGAACATTTTAACTGGTCCATTCTGGGGGAAAACTAGAATGCCTTGGAGTTGGACATTCTATTTTGCTCATCTATGCTGGTTAATGACGCAAATAAAGGCTGATTTGACCTGACTCAACTCATATTGCTCAAGCCTTCCCCAACCTTGTGCTCTTCAGAAAGGTTGGTTTACAACTCCCCAAATTTCCAGGCACCATGGTTAATGGCTAGGCAAGAAGATAGTTGTCATTCAACACAACTGGAGGGTACTACGTTGAGAAGTCTATTCCGAAGGACGCCTACTCATCTCTGCCTTCAACTAAGCACCCAGGTTTCCTTAATTCTGTTTCACTTTCTATGCTGAATCTCTTGCTGCCAAACCTAATAAATACTTTTACAGCACAATAAAGATCAGCAAATTTATTATCACATTTACTTTCACAGGTCCTGCTCCACTTTGCACACTTGATGAACTGTACTGTGAATATTTTAATATTTTGTCAATAAAGGAGAATAAAAGACATCCAAATATAAGTCACATTTGCTACATATTTCATTCTTACATATTGCCCTCTCCAATAGATGTTATTATTTCATTGGATTTTGATGCCATCTGTCTCCAAGTGACTTTGGGATTAGCAATGCTGAAAATTCCTACTGCTGAGATTGATCTAGACTCCTGCAACTTCTGCCCTATATTTTGGTAGGATGTTTTCCTTCTGGTCAGTTTATTATCAAATGTTTACTCTTTCCTTAACAGTTCAGCCCTGGATTTAGAGGAGCTTTAGAGCTTTTTTTTAGAGCAGCATGAAATGCATTTTTATCTTTTAAAAGATATTTAGGAATGTGACGCATGAATGCAAACATTAAAATACTTGATTTGATACAGCTTGCTTAGAGAATTATGTTCTAGGGGGTTAAATGGTATAAACACCCAAGGCATTATGTTCATTGCAGCCTAAATATAATTTGCTTCATCTTCAGTCCAACATTATGTTTACACTAAGCCATAATGCGATTTCCTTGGTTTTGGCTTACCATGATATGTGAACCAGAGTACTTTTTATTAACCATGGCTTATATGTGTTTCCAACTTGTCTTTATATCCTGAACATTCAGACACTGTCAGTTTACCCTGAAACCTGTTTACTTTTTATAAACCAAGTAGTACTATATTTTTAAAAAATAACTTCTAACTTCTGTGGTTGAATGGAATTACATTGTACATACCCAATTAATAAGCACATATTTGGGCAAACCAGAGTTGGGGTCTTTCACTCGGCAGAAAGCATACATTACTTTCCCACTATTGAGTTCTTCCACCATCTCCTCCAGACCACCATCTATATATCATTATTTGACAAGAGGAATGAGAGGTCAAGTTAAAGCAAATTAACGTTAAGAATTATCTACAGACAATATACAGAATACATTGATCTAGAACCAGGAAAGAACTCCAGAAGTTCTAGGTTACACTTAAGAACCAGCCAATCAATACCTGAAGTGTTGGACCAAGTTGCTCAATCCTGCTGCAGATAAATACTCTGGCCTGGTTCACATGTTGTACTAAGTCATACTATGGTTTTGTTTGGCATGTAGTGTGAGGTCAGCCAACTATGGTTTATTCAACAAATCTAGCTTAATGCGGTCATTGCTTGAAAAGATAATTTCCATCCGTTCCAACTGTTAAAAGAGACTAATTTACATAATATTCCCAGACAGGACTTGATTTAACTCAATGAAATGTTAGAGATACTTTCTTTCAATTGCTGATTCTTACTTAGTTTATAACCTGCTTCTGAAACTCCTTTCAGTTAACAGTCTTCACAAGTACTCATGTTTTAAATGAATATAAGCAAGAGGTAGTTCTGTTCTTATTTGGAGTCTGACCATGACTTAACCCAACACATCAGTGAGGCTGGTCTTACATAGAGAAATATGGATGGACATAGTAAAAGAAAATCAGTTAAAACTCCTGTTCAGTTACAAAGTTTATTGACTGTATTAAGCTCTTGGCCTAGCCTGTCTCATATAAGATTGTGAAAAGAAAGATTCTGAATACTGTAGCCCACATTGTTATGGGGGACAAACACTATCTGCCTTGAGTTACCAGGATAATAAACTGTGATTGTTGATATCAGGAGAATAAGCACAGAATTGCAAAGCTAACAAAAGGAACACATCGCTTCTAGGCATGAACTGAACTAGTGAAGGAGATTCAATATCCATCTAAAAATATTACTTAGTAGGCATAAGACAACATTTACTGTGCCAAAAATATTTTGGAAACTCATTAAGTAGTAGAACCTCATCATTATAGTTCTGAGATCAGGAAATGTGAGGATCCAGAATATATTTAAGGATGTCCTTGAGAAAGTTCAGGCATCTGCTAAGCTGCAGTCTTAAAACAGCAGCCAGTGAATCACTTCCTCATCTGAAGTCTCACTCCCTGCCAACATGGGCTCTTAAGTCTTTGATGTTTCCTCCATTAACCCGTCTTATTCTGCCTCCACATTACAGTTACCAGTTTTCTTTTCTTCTTCTTCATCTCATTATTCAAACAGTCACCTATTTTAGTTCCCTCAAAAACCAGCCATCGCAAATGTGAAACAAAAGGGCAACTGCAGAATTTTTATTCTTCCTCAATGTTAATTCTTCCTCAGAAGAACCACCCAATACTCAGCTTTGCCAGCTACTTCCCTTAAAAAAAAAAAAAAAAAAAGCTGAAGGAGTTTCTAGATGAGATACAATCAACACGGGGTTCTCCTTTCCCTATTGCATTTTTATTAAAATGTCTGTAACAGGGATCTTTATGCTTTTTTGTAGGTGCAGGGGTATAATTTCTATCCTTGTGGCTTTATAGAACATTCTCTAAGAAAAAAAAAAAGCAGATTAAAAGAGATGTTAACCCAAAGGTACCATTTTAAAACTGAATTTGAACATCCTCAAACTTCCCCTTTCTACCAAAAGGTGATATGAAACCATGTGTTTACTCTGCAAACTAGAAGCCAATAAAACACCCCTATCTTGTAATCTTTCTACCCAACATTCCACCTGCTATGATGAAAGGAACACCTGGAGGTTCAGCAACAGTCATATACATGTTTTTTCAGTTCAGATCCCATCAAATCACTTTGCAGCCCTGATACAATCCACGGCTTCTGATTCTAGTTTGGTTGCCAATTTAGACATCATGACAAACCTGTTGGGCATCATTCTATGCAATTTATGCCAAGAGGCATAAGCATAGAGGAAGAGAAAAAAAATCAGAAAGAACAGAGAGACGTAGGCTTTGCACATTTACAGATTTTCCCCATTGCCTACAATTATGGTGGCAAAAATATAATGACTAATAAAATGCAAGAATGTATTTTTGTAAATGCAACAAGCTACAGTGATTCCATCCACTAAAATTTCTTAACAGGCAGCATTCCAAAACAAGTATATTTAATAAGCAGTTCAAGTGACTAAAACTGCCATTCTATATACAATTTAACATACAAACTGGCACTCTGGCTGCTAATTAGCATTTTTTCCTTGCATTTTTTTAAAAAAAAGATTTTTAAAGTAAATTGCATAAAATATTTCCTTTGTTTTCAAAATGTTCAGATCACCTATGAAGCTCCACACAGATGTGTAGCATGTTTAAGGTGTAACATATTACTTCCTGCAACTACATCTCCCACAATCCATTTCTGCTACTATACCTCTCACAATCCACTTCCCAGGACTGGGCTGGACATTTCCCACAATCCCCTGTATCTAAATAAGCTGAAATAAATTGAAAGCTAATTTCAATTTCCTGATTTTTTAAGATACTTAAAAGTTAAAGCTTCTCGAACAGGATCTCCCAACCTTTGGGAGCTGGTGGGCATGTCTGAAATTCTGCAGCACGCTATGGGCAATCTCACAAAATGGCCGCTACGGGAGGTTTACAACCCGCCCATTCAGCAGAAGGCAAATCAATTTAGTTGCTCCTAGTGTCCTAAGATACTCAGGATCACCCAAGTTTTGGTCTTTTTCTGAGTAGACCTGCAAACTTATAAACAAAGCACAGGGTTGCATATTCCCACTGATTCTACTTTCTGCCTATTTGGGGCCCAAGTTATACAGATTATGCATCAGGCTGATACTTTGCAGCACGGTACTTCATGTTCATTTTTCTTAATCCAACAATTATTTTAAAAAGGGAACTTAAGAAAAACTAGGAACTTAGTGGGTACTCAGGAGTGTGTCACCATCACACTGAAGAACCAGATTCCAGGACAATGCCACAGATGCCCTACAAAAACCCCAGGGCCAGCTGCATTCGGATCTGAAAGCAATTATCAAGCAGCCTCTGCTTTACAACCCAAGGACAGACAATCTAGAATACAGACTTGAGAACCATTCAGCCCAAAAGCAGGAGTAAGCCACACATTATTGAAGTGTTTTTCAAAATTCACTCACCTCCAGTCCCTGCCACTCTGAGGTCATTGCTGTTACCCTCGTATGTAAACAGGGCCCTGAAAGCAACAAAGGAAAATGACTGTTATTTTATTCACTGGGGACTGAGGACCATCTTTCAGATTCAGAATATTGTTGACCTGATGCTTCAATGATTGGATTCTTATATCACACTAAGCTAGGTTTGGTTGTGGTTTATTCACATTTTTATTTTATTTTTTCAATTTTTCACCCTTTTCCCTTCTCTTTACATGATTCCGCGCCTCTATCTTTGGAACCATGACAAATAGAAGTGATATCAATATAAATAGAATGTTTCCAGTTTTAAGAGATTTCCAGTTATTTCTTAAGATGACCTAATAAACTTAGCCCTATACATTTAATTAATTAACAATTTTATTACAGTTGTAAACTGTTTATTTATTGATATTTTACTCTTTCTCTGCTACGTCTCTGTTTTAAGAGATTTCCAGTTATTTCTTAAGATGACCTAATAAACTTAGCCCTATACATTTAATTAATTAACAATTTTATTACAGTTGTAAACTGTTTATTTATTGATATTTTACTCTTTCTCTGCTACGTCTCTGTCTCTTTTATGTAGCTATTAATTCTGTCCTTTAAATGTTTCAATAAATACATCTTAAAAAATAAATAGGAAAAAAAAACCCCCAATACTAACTCCATCTACAGTTTGGCAACTTGTGTGAAGCCCACCGAAAGAGCCTTTTATCCATCCTCCTTCCATTGAATACAACTCCCAAATCTTCACTTCTTTCAAAACTTTGCACTGCTGGGCCTCTTTTCTGCAAGGCACACCGTCACTGCAATGGTTCCTCCATATTTAGCTATGAAGGTATTGTTAGCAAAATTTGAGAGTGGTGCTATGCTAGAGTGTTTTATTATAATTTTATTAAAAGTTTTAAAAAGGAAGATAAAAATGAATACAAACTAATATAAAGTAAGGGTGAAAAAGAAAAAGAAATCCAAAAGAAAGCTAAAAGTGCAAGAAAGGAAAGAAAAAGTAAAATAGGAAAGAAAAACGATACAAAGACGTGGCTTCTGATCTTCTTTACAGCAGTTATAATTATAACTTTACCTCTTTCTCTAAAGTTATATGTCTCTTGTCTGTGTATAATCTATCCTATCTAATCAACAAAACCATAAATCGTGAGTTCATTTTTTTCTGTTTTCTGCAAAAAGGCCATAAGGGGTTTCCAGTCAGCTATGCTAGAGTTTCCATCACCACTCGATTCGTACTTCCACCAATCTATATCACGCTTTAGAAGAAATGGGTCCAAGTCAAGGTGAACTTCCTCCTCCTTACACAACGTGGCTGAATTCATACAAGCTAAACACAGGTTAGCAAAATACCATTGTTATCCCTCCATAAGATGCTATGCCTCCCAAACAAATCATATAATGATTTAACAGGATGGCCTGGTTTACACAACGTGCAAGACAACGACGGGGCTGCTCACAGCTGACTAAATCCCAAATGGCTCACCTCTGCTTCAGCAAAAGGGTGTTGGGTCCTGGAGAGAACAGCCGGAAAAGGGCAGCGTTTGGGGGGCTTCCTGCCCACGTGAGGTTCTGCTGGGGTGTGGGCCAACCAGTGCCACCAGCCCTGCCCTGAGCCGCTTCTCCAATGCCACCCACCACTCACCTGCGTTGCCCCGTCCCCACCTCTCTCCACTCCTGGCCCCCGCCCAACCCTCTGGCTCCAGCAACTTCTGCCCGTCCTCCCATTCTCATTGCGCCACCGCGGCTCGGCCGCTTCCTCATTGCCCCACGCCTGCACATGGAGTCCATGCTCAGCTTTCAGGGGCCCCCAGCCACCCTTCTGGGCTGCACCCCCCCAATTCTGCCTCTGCCCCCAGCACAACCCATCCCCGTGGCCCTCCGCACGCCAGGCTTCCAGGGCGCATCCCACTCCCGCATCGCGCGCGGGGCCCTCTTCGCTTGCACGGACTGCCATCGCCCTCCTTTTCCGCCGCGGGTGCTGAAGACCTCGACGCAACGCAGCCTCTCCCCGCTCGCCAGACGCCCCTTCCTCTGCCCCGCAGTCTCCCCCAAGCCCGCCGCCGGACCTTTCGGGCGAGCCCTGCCGCGCCACCCCAAGTTGCGACTCGAGCCTGGAACTCGGAGCCCGGACCCGGCCGAGCCGCCTCCTTCCCGCAGGC